GCCTCCAGTGGAGCTCCCTTTGGGGCCACGAAACGTGTGAGGGGTGTGCCGAAATGGGTGCGGTGGTGTCATGCGAGCGCAGCCGCTGGGCCTTCGGTGGGCCTCCTTAGGGGGCAAACGAAACGTGTGAGGGGTGTGCCGAAACTTTCGCGGTGGTGTCATGCGAGCGCAGCCGCAGGGGCCTTCTGTGGAGCTCCTTATGGGGCTACGAAGCGCTGCGCTGGGCGGGGGGAGCGCAGGGAGGAGGGAGGAGGAGGAGGAGAGAGGAGGAGGAACGCGCGGACCATCTCTTCAAAACGAAGACCCAACACCACAGGATGGTTGGGAACAAACACCAGGGGCACGCCCAGACGCCGCGCGTCGCGACGAACGCGCGTGTTGATCCACCCCTCCACCATCTCCCAGGAGATGCCCATGCCGTAGCCGAGCCGAAAGTTTCCGTGTTGGTGCCGAGGGTCCACGACGCCGTGGTTGTCCAAGGCCAGCGTTTTCTCCCAGGCGGACCAGACCTCTGGCGGGAAGGGTTTGCTCTCGCGCGAGTAATTCAAGAGCTCGATCAGAGGGCCACTGGGCTCGAAACGCTTCGTGCCCTTGAGCTCGATGACGCGGGGGGTATCAGAGAACACCTTGATGGCGAGGTGAATATCCACCGTCGGCGGTTCCGCGAACTTGTACGACCCCTCGTCCAGGAGCTCTTTCTTTCGTCAGGAGGCCGATGGTGCCCGTGGGTTTCAGATGCAGGAAACCGTCGAGGTGCAACACGATGGGGACGCGCCCGAAATGGTGGCGCAGCTGGTTGTGGGTGGACTCCTGCACGTCTTGCGTGTCACTGCGTACATGGCAGGCGAGCAGGTCCAGCGCGTTGTACAACGCGGCCGCACCATGTTCACCTCCTCGATGGCAAAAGCGCGGACGTGCCCCCACAACCACTTCAGCCTCTTTTGCACGCTCCCCAGTTTTTTTCGCGTTGGTGTACCTCTGCACCCGCAGGGCGCAGGCGTCTTGCAGCGCCTTGGCCCTCACAGTCTCCGTGGAGATATTATTTGCCTGCGCGCTCGGCAAGGCCACGGCCATCATGGCGCCCTTGTCCGGCGCCAACGAGGGCCACACATATTCAACCAGTATGAAGACGATCTTCTGCACCATAAGCGTCTTCCCCAAGCCGCCTTGGCCCAGCAGGAGCACGTGCGTCACTTTCCTGTCGCTCCAGGATTTTTTCTGGACGTCGTCCTCCCAAGCGTCGTCGCAGGCCTTGGCGAACTTGGCGACGAAGAGCGTCTGGTCCCGCGTGAATCTCTGGTCCTCTGGCAAATCAGCGGTCAGGATGGCGATGTACGCGTTGGATTTGGACTACAAGCTGCCGTCGAACCTGACCGCCTGGGATTCGAACGCGAAACGCGGGGTAGGGACGGGGCTCCTGCTCCAGACTTCTTCGCCATTTACTCACAGCCGATGCCCCTTTCGGGGCATCCGCACGATTCAACTCTTCGGCGTGCTCAAGTCCTACGCCTGCGATGGTAGGCCGATGACCGCCTGGGATTCGAACGCGAAGTGCGGGCCCCATAGGGAGGTGGCTCCCGTTGGAGACTTCCCCGCCGTTCACTCACAGACGAGACCCTCACTCAAGACATCCTCGCGATTCGCCTCCCAGGGTTGCTCTGGGTGCTACGCCTGCTATGGTAGGCTGACGACCGCTTGGGATTCGAACGTGAAGCGAGGGCCCCATAGGGACGGGGTTCCCGCTCCAGACCTCCTCGCCGTTCACATGAGGCAGGCCTCTGTTCAAGACATCTTCACAATTCGCCTCCTAGGGGTGCTCAAGTGCTACGCCTGCTATGGGAGGCACTCAATTATGGGGCCCCTGCTCGAGACATCATCACGATTCAACTCTTAGGGGGGCTCAAATGCTATGGGTGTGAAATGGTCAAAATGGTGATGATGATGGAGGTGATGATGATGGTGATGAGCATGGTGCTGTGGCGAGAGACTGAGTGAGTGGGGCGTGGCGGGTGAAAAAGGGTCAGTGAGCGAGAAAGTGGGAATGATCATGTAGTGATGATGAGGGTTATGATGGTAGCGATGATACCACGATGTTGACGATGACGATGATGTTTGTGACAATGATGACGTTGATGATGATGATGACGATGACAACAACAACGGTGTTGATGGTGATGGTGGGGCGGGAGGGGGAAGAGAGATCCTGCGGGGTGGGGTGGTGGGGGGGGGCGCGCAGAGAAATCATAACACCACTTAGGATGCAACGTTAGAAGAGGAAGCATACATATACTTTTACATCCATATATGCAGGTGTATATACATATACGCATTTATGTATACACATATTTTTCATGTATGCACTATACGACCACTTTTTGGGTGATAGGGAGGCTTGGGGGGCGGGAAGGGGAGGGGGGGGGGGCGGGGAACAATCAACAGCTGGCAAAAGCGATGTGTAATGATGACGACGCTTGTGAGGCGCCCTTGACAGAACGACGACGCATGATGACGATGTTCTGTCGCACTGGAATGTCACTATCGCCCCCGCTTTCGATCTCATTCGGTCGATCCCATTATCGACCTCGCAGGATCGATCACACTCGATCGGCCTCACTATGGATACCACGATCCTTCCAGTATAGATATTACATTGAATCTCGCTGTCAATCTCACGATCGATCTCAGTATCGATATCACCATCGATTCCTCTATCGATCTCATACAACGTCACTGTCTATCTCATCTCCTTTTTCATTTCACTATCCATCCCATGTCTAGCGATTTCATGATCGATCTCGCTATCGATCCCACTATCGGTACCAAGGCGGAACACCCTGGCCACCGCCGACGGAACACCGCCAGGACACCAACGGGATACCAACGGGACATTACAGGACATCACGGCGGGACACCCCTGGGCCACAACGCGCCCACTGAGGGCGGAGGGGGGGTCCACTGCATCCGAGTCGTCTTAGCGACGGCGGGGTCATTCCTTTCGCGCGCCCACGCAGCTTCGCCTCGCCCGCACGTGCGACACGAACACGAAACCGAAACCGATTTCCTGGTTGGGGGTTCTCCGTTCTCCCCCAGAGTCCGATGCATAGGCACTTCACATGCGAAGCATGTGGTGTTTTAAGCCATCCTGCGAACATGTGTGCGCAAACGCACGCATGCCCATTCCGTCCGTCGAACGAGGATGCTGCGCTGTTTTTGGAGTTTGACCACGAACAGTTTCGATGAACGCATCGGGATGGCGCTTGCCCTGGACTCGGATGCACCTCTGGAGATACTTGCATCCACCGCGTGCGGCAGGTCAGCCATTCAGCTGGTGCAGTGCTTGGATTTTTGGCTCGCAGGCAGTGTCCGACGCGCGCCTTGAGAAGGCTTCTGCCCCGGAGTCGGACGCGCAGTGTGGATACTTGTGCCATCCAGTTTCGGTCAGCAAGTTGGGTCACAGAGGTCAGCAATCAGCTGCGTCCGTAAACTTTCGGATCGAGGGTTGGGGGGGGCAGGGGAGCACTGCGCAGTCCAGCTCCAGGAATATTTGCCAGGGGGTTGACGGCCCCATGGAACCAGGCGCCGCCGCGAACGCGCTGTGACAATTCCGCGATGCTGCGCCGACGCCCGCGCTACGGCTCCCGTGGGAAACGGCGAGCCCCGACCCTCTGGCAGCTCCCCGCACGCTGCTGCCAGTCTGGGAAGGCCACGCGGAAGAGGACAACGAGACCCAGGGGCCTGCAGCCACGACGGGACCGACCAGAGCCCGACGGGAGACCGTCTTTCGGGCCACCCTCCGTGCCCTAGCGGGAGGCTGAAGAACGCGAGTTGCGGTTGGGGCAGCTGCTCCTCGTCGCTCGCTCTGCCGGCGACCACTGCCGCTTCAACCGGGAGGCAGCGGATGCGGCTGACGACCTGCGCGTCCACGAGCTCCTGGTGAACACATTCGCCGGGACGGCGACCAGCACGCTCGCGCGCCGAGCTTGCTCCATGTCGCTGTCGATGCGGCGTTTCTGCGACAGGTTCGGTTCAGCTACACGCGGCTCCCCCCTCTCAGAGAGCAAGCGAGGTGTACGAGTACGCGGAAGACCTTCGCGCCTCGGGCGCGCCACCGACGAGGGCGCAGGGATTTCTGGAGGCCTCCCTGTTCGTGCACGGCACGCTGGGCGTGGAGGCAGGGGACGGTTTGTCCCGTAGCGCCCGGGCACGTGGAGCCGTGGCGCTGAGGTGACAACGAAATCATTTCACGGCCAAGGCTCGCCCTCTGAAGGTGCAGCACTTGCGCATGTTGGAGTCCCTGGCCGAAGATGCGCCGCCCCACGCGGGGCTTGAGGCCGGCTTCTTGCGCTACCTTGCTCACAGCTGGTCAAGGGCGCGGGATCCGGCACCTTGGAGGACGAACCGTACGTCGATATGCCAGTGGGCCCAACCGTACGTCGATATGCCAGTGGGCCACGGTGTCATAGAAGTGCGGGCTGCCCGCGTCAAGACCATCAGAGGGCTCAATAGGGCCAGGCTTGGGCTTCCCCTGGTCGGGATCGCAGAGGGCGCACGGACGGCGCGATCGAGACGTGGACAGAGGCGTGGCCATGCGCGCGGAAGGCAGCGGGCATGCGAACCAGCGAGGGCCAGTGCCTGTTGCCAGCAGAGTCCGCTGTCGACGTGCTCGTCCACAGCGCGCTGGCGTCTGCCCCGCAGATCACCGCCATGCTCCGTAGAAACCCCAATCTCGCTGGGGCGGGACCGGCAGGCGGAGCGCTATACGTCTACATGTTTGATAACGGGCTTTCTTAGTGCGCGTGTAGATAGGGCCGTGAACAGCCCAAAACCGAGCGTCAAATTTTTGGAAAATATTGGACGCTGGTTTTTTGGCTTAGAACCCCCCCCCTCGGGCCTCGGTGGGACGGAGGGGGGTGGGACAGCGAGGAGTGCGCTCAGAGCTGCGAGAGACAGTCCATAATCTTTTGGGCTCTAGCTTTAATCAGGAGAAGCGCCTCCCCGAGCGTCCGCGCGCTCCGCGCGACCGCCCCAGCGGGCGGCCGCGCCTCCGCCACGACGCGGCTCTCGTGGTTCGCCGCCTGCGTCCTGGGGACATCTTTGGCGCGCGAGGAGGCGGTCGAGAGTTGGGTGGACTGGGGCGCCCGCGAGTTCGAGGCGCACTACTGGGGCGAGTCGCCCCCTGCGGGCGCCAAGGAAGAGGAGGACTGCTCCGAGACCGAGGAGGTTCGAGCGTCGCCAGCGCCGACGCCCATGCCGCCTCAGAGATGGAGCAGAGTATACTATCGGCCGCGGGCCGAGGACAAGAAAGGATTGATGTTCACGACGACGGCGGGCGAGCGTCGCTGGGTCGCGATCGACCCGACAGGCCGGCTCCAGGTGGTCGACCTCTCCGTGGCGGCGAAGGTGCGAGCGACCAAATTCGCGGGCGTGGACCACGGGGCCTTCCCGGGCATGTCTGCACGAGAGAAGGCCATGGCGGTCGAGGCGGCGGATCGGGTGATCGCATCAGGGAGTACGACGATGACGGCGACCATTACGAGGGACTACAATCGTAAGAACCTGTCAAGCGGCAGGACAGGTCACCGCCGCCATCCTGTGACGTGGGTGGCCAAGATCGCGAGCAACGTCGTGGGCTACGTGTGGGCTCGACGAAGCTTGGGAGGTTTCGCTGGCTCTACCTTTGTGCTGTGGCGAGCGTGCGCGTACTTCAACGCTGTGGAGTGGGCCAAGTGGTTCTACCACCAGGCGAAGGAAGCCGTGAAGACCGTCGAGGGCTTGAAGGAGGAGTACGAGCAGATCATGGAGATGCACGAGTCTGGCGCTATGGAGCCGCTCTACATGTCGGCGGGCATCACGTCCGTGATCGCGGTGACTGGCACGTGCTGCGGGCGGCGGTCGAGCTCGAGCAAGCCTCGCCCTGCCGCCCACCGCGCGGAGGTGGAGGGCCCGTCGCTCTGGCAGCAGCTCTTGCCCTGGTCGCCTGTGGGCGCGCCCAGCTCGTCAGGTACGTCGACGCCTCGCGACGAAGGGGCGACGATCTCCGACGGCGAGGGGGACTCGTCCGTCGAGTCCGAGCTGGTGAGGCAGCTCGGCGCGGTGGCGGAGAGGCTTGCTGCGCCGGAGGTCAGGAGCTCATCGCCTTCGTCGCCCCCCCCTGCCGCGCCGCCTCCGAGCGCGACGACGCCGGCCTTCAGGGCGTTCGGCGGCTCCACGGAGACGGGTTCGACCCCGAACTACGACATGCTGATGTCGCAGCTGCTGGAGCGCCTCGACAGGCACAAGGAGATCGTGCAGTCCGACAGCCGCGCAGCCACTGCAGGAGCTTCGACGCGGGTCCAGGAGGTCTCGTCGACGAATCCCGAGGTGGAGGCGCTGGTGCGCGGCCTGGGCGACTCCTTCAAGGATATGCCGGTGATGGCGAAGGAGAAGCTCGAGGCGTTCAACCCAAATGTGACGTGGGCCATCCCCGGCGGCATCAAGACGAGGGTGGCTCCGTCGATGGCGGCTCGGCTGCACAGGAGCGGCTCGACGGCAGTGGCGACGATGCGCGAGCTCATCCGCTTAAAGCAGCTGGAGGGCAACCACATGGCCGAGGAGATGCTGCTGATCGGCATGATGATCGACCGCTCCATGATCGAGGCTCCGCCCGAGTTCATGAACTACAAGACTACCGAGCTAGCGATGAGGAGGCTGCGCGGGATCGAGCGGGCGTTCGAGCACGCGAAGCAGCGCGGCGACTGGAAGCCTCCGAACGGCGCCAAGCAAGGCGGGAAGTCGAGGATCAACTACCATGCGCTGGAGGAGCTCGACGCTTCAAAGGCTGATCAGGAGGGCGTGCTCATCGACGGCGTGGAAAAGGAGCTCCGGAAGCGGCTGGCGCATCGCGGGCGCCGCTGGCCAAATCCCTCGACAAGCTGAACGACCACAAGAACACCGCGTCGAAGAAGGACGAGTAGCGGATCGGAGGACGCATCCATTCAGGCGCCGGCCCAGGCCGGGCGCGTCATCAGCGCAGCGCTCGCCATCTTGAGCGCTGCCCACCTCACCTACGCGCGCAGCAGCGTTATTTTCATCATTTCTCATGACAGCGAGAGTGGAGTGCGAGTTCCCGTCAGATGGTCGAGTCAGAGACCCCCTGGAGGTGCTCCCGTTATTCAGTCCGCCCGAGCCCCCGTCGTCCACTTCGGGTCGGTCCAGGTCCCGGACCGCGACAGAGAGGGTGATCCGAGCGCAGGCGAACGCAGCTTTGAGATCCCTGAAGGCGTTGACGACTGGCCGTTGCGATCGGCTTCGGGACACTGTATGGGGCAGTGCAAAGGTGTGGACGACCAGCCAAGAGTTGCCCAGGGATCTCCGAGCGGGTGCTGGAGTGCCATCGCGAGGCCCACGACCTGAAGATGTACGCCTCCGACGCCGAGCCCGCTTTCGAGCGGCTGGCTTTGCGTGCCATGGCTGGGACCTACGCGGGCATAGCTGTCTCCAACGACGACGAGGAGGTGCCGCGGCGAGGGGAAGTCATGCCCTTCGTGAGCGGCGAAGCGTCTCTGCCGCCCGCAGGGGCCGTGCCATGTGACATCAGGCTGGTCTCGCCGAAGCGCCGAAGGCCAGGTGCTACTTCGACAGGTTCCACGAGAGGATGGCCCTGCCGCCGAGCCAGGTGGACGAGGCCGACATCGAGGCCACGCGCGCCTACGCCGACCCCAGTCTCCGGCATCGGGCCGCTCGCCTGGACTTCGCAGTGCGGCTCTGGGAGTCGGGGGTGCTCGGCTTCACGCACGTGTGCAAAGCCGAGGTGTCAGTGCTTTTCGCGATTAATAAGGTGCGCGAGGACGTGGCTTACGTGCTGAGGCCGGCGTGGGGCGTGAGGCGCGTGAACAAGCGTTTCAGGAGCCCGCCCCATCTCAACTTGGGGCCCCCGATGGCAATGGCGGAGCTCGACCTATCAGACGAGGTGGCGCAGGGGCGAGTTTTGAAGTCTACGTGGGGCGACGTGTCAGACTGCTTTCACAGGTGCCGCGGGTGCTCAGAGCTCTGGCCCTACAGGGTCTACGGTGGGATCTCTATAAGCGAGTTCCTGAAGGAGCTGAAGAGGCGGAGTATGCAACTTCCGACGGTACCCAGTGGGGGCAGATATCTATGCCTGGTCGTTATGCTGATGGGGTTCAGCTGGTCCCCAGCGATCTGCCACGGAGCGCTGGAGGACATCATCTGCGACCTGCCCGGCTTCCCGCGTCATGGTCAACTGGTGCATGGGCTGGTACCTCCCAGCTTCTCCGTGATGGTGATCATCTACTGGGTCTTCATGGGCGACTTCGCGTCCTTGACTCTGGTGCACGAGGGCGACCTAACGACTGTGGAGGCAGCGAAGGAGGCTGCATGGGCGAGGCTCAAGAAGGCGGGGCTGGACATGCACAAGGACGGAGTGGGAGAATACCTACCTTTGTCTCTGGGGGTGACCATCGCCGAGGAGCCCTACCGACGAATGGCCTCAAGAGAGAAGATCCAGGATGCGATAGGCGCCACGGGAGCTCTGCTGGCTCGAGGCCGAGCGACGTCGCAGGAGTTGTCGAGAGTTGTGGGGTCGTGGGTCTGGCTGACGATGTGCTGTCGACCTGCCCTCTCCCTCCTCGACTCTTGCTACGAGTTCGTGACGAAGTTCGACGGCGACGACAGCAAGCGCGACCTTTGGGAGAGCGTCTTGAACGAGCTTCATATGGTTTACTACCTGGCGCCCCTGACGCACACGCGCCTGGAGGCTCGATGGAGCGAGATCGCGTTTGCGACCGACGCCAGCGAGACGGGCATGGGCGTGGTGGAGACCAGGTCCTCTCGAGACGAGGTCAAGCAAGAGGTGGGCAGGCAGTGGAGGATCAAACAGCTCCGCGATATGGCCAGGGACGAGGACGAGGAGCTGCTGCTGAGCGGCGGCGCCCTGGAGTGCTCAAGGCGAGGGGTCCCGAACACCACCGGCGAGGGCGAAGTGCCTCCTCAGCGGCTGAAGGCCGACGTCTTCGCTGGCTACGGCGGCTTCGGCGAGGAAGTGCGGAGCGATTGCCAGTGCGAGACCCTCTTCGTGGACAGCGCTCGCAACCCCCGCCGCGACCTCATGGGCCCGTCGTTCGTGGAGCTGGTCTGCCGGGCCATCCTGTTCGGGCTTTTTTTCTTGGTTCACATGGCCCTTCCGTGCTCGTCCTTTTCGCGGGCTCGGAGGCCAGCGAATCGGGCATCTGGCAGGTGGATCCGAGGGCTTCCTGGACTTGCCCCGCAGCAGGTGCGACGAGTACGAGAGGGGAACACCTTGGCACAGGCAGCGATCTCAATGTGCTTTGCGTGTCTGGCAGCGGGTGTTGGCTTCTCCCTCGAGAACCCCAGGACTTCGATGATCTGGGACCTGCCCGAGATGGTGAAGCTGATGAGTCAACCAGGCGCGTTCGTGGTGGAGCTGCTCTACTGCGCTTATGGAGCGCGGTGGCTGAAGCCAACGCGCCTGCTGACAAACGTGGAAGCTTTCAAGGAGTTGGCGCGCCGCTGCTCCAGAGCTCACCAACATCAGGAGCTCCGAGGACGAAACGCCGAGGGACAGCTGTGGACTCGGCTGGCCGCGGTCTACCCCCCGCAGCTGCGCAGCGCGCACGCCAAGCTGGCGAGGAAAGCGATCGAGACGAAGCAGCTGGACATCCACGACTGGCGAGTGCGCGAAGTTCGGCGTCCCCCGGAGAGGCCCAGAGCCGTCTTGAACCATTGGGCAGACATATCGAGATGGCATTTATCGTGGAAAGGAGAGTGGTGCTACGAGGACCACATAAACGCGCAGGAGATGAGGACTGTTTCATCTGTGGCGAGGCACTTGTGCAGGTCGTCGCGGTGCTGATTCAGCCGCTTCCTGGTGCTGTGCGACTCTATGGTTACAGTGGGAGCTGTTCGAAAGATGAGGAGCTCGTCGAGGCCGTTGATGACGCAACTGAGGAAGATCGGAGCGATCACCTTGGCCACCCGCGTGAGATTGACGCTGCGGTGGATCCCCACCGACATGAACCCAGCGGACGGCCCGTCCAGAGGGGAGGCCGTGGGCAGCGCGGAGGTCACCAAGACGAAGGCCGAGCTGAAGAAGGTGATCTTGGACGACGCCCATCCCTTCGAGAGGTTGCTGGGGGGCCAGTTGGAGATCAAGGGTATGCACGACGACTACGCCCAGGACTGGCATCTCTAGGCTTGCTGCTCATGGCGACGATATGGTGCGACAGCGTGGCGGTCAGTTCGTCAACCCTCGACGAGTACTTCTCGGATGCCAACGAGCCTTTCAACAACGCCGTGGATAGCGACGCTGAGGATGGATACCTGGCCTCTGATTTTAGCATGATTGCAGGGGCCGTGCAGGCAATCAAGTCGGACGAACGGGGCTCGTCAAAGAAGAAGGTCGCAAAGGCCAAGAAAGCTGCCAAGCAGGACCCCGCGAAGGTTTCCGCTCGTCGAGTCCGACCGTTCGTGCCGATGGTGAGTAAGGGGCCCAGGGCGTTCGAGAATGCGGCCGTCGAGAAGCCCGTCAACGGGAGCTCCCTGGGCGGCGATAGGCTCGAGCGCCCCCTGAGACTCCTGATCCACGCGGTGCGGGGCGACGCAAACAAGGAGTACATCAAGGAGGTGCAGCCCTTTTTGCGCGATGTGTGGCAGAGGCGTCTCCCCTTTGCGACCCCAGGCGAGCGCGACATCACGGTCGCAGCTGAGCTGGGCAACCGGTGCTTCGTGGAGCGCGCCCCCTTGAACAGGGGAATCAAGCTGTACCACGGGCTGATGCACATCTTCCCCGAGTGGAGGTCAGAGATGCCGATCGCGCTCAGGGCTCTGCACAGTTGGGAGAAGTATCAGCAGACGTGGGAAGGATGCCCAGCTTCGGTCGAGGCAATCTACTTCATCGCGCGAGAGGCTGTTCGACGTGGTCACATCGACGAGGGGATTGCGTTTCTTCTCGCGTACGACTGCTATCTACGAGAGCAGGACTGGTTGCAGCTGAGGGCCGAGGATGTGCATGTGAGCTACAGAGACGTTCGAGACCCAAGGTCGATCAAAGTAGCCATCCTGCTAGGTCGGCGCCACAGAGGCGAGAGCGTGAAGACCGGTCAAGAGCAAGGTGTGGCCATCGACGACCTTGGGATCGCGACGATCATAGCCGAGCGCGTGAAGTACTTGCCCGGCGATGCTCTAGTATTCGACACCAACGCCTCGCGAGCTGGGACAGTTTGGCGTTCGATTCTGGCCAATAACAATATGAGTTGGATCGGCCCAATGCACACTTTGCGACGCAGTGGACCGAGTCACGACATTCTGTGCAAAAGGAGATCCATCGGAGAGATTCAGCGTAGAGGACGATGGACACAAAGCACGAGCATGGCCCGATACAGCAAGCCGCACCCCCTCATTGTTCACAGTGCCTGATTACCGCCGATAGTAAAGCAACGAGGACGAGACGCCAGACATGATCTACGATTGCTGCTGCGACCAGTACCTCGCGCCAGTCCGCGGAGTGCGGCCTGCGCGGCCGCCATCAAGACCATCGGCGACCATCACTCCCAGGCCACGGAGCCCCTGGACGAGTCAGATTGAGACGTGACGGCTTCGCCGACTGCACGCCCCTGCCCGCTAGCTGCCAAACATTCCTCCTCCGTCCTCGCCCCTCCTCTTCTTTCGAATATGCATAAAGCGTCCCACCCTCCCGAGTCCCAATCTTATAGTGAACCGAGGTTACGGGGTGTGGGGGTGGTTTTCCTGGAGCTGGACCTCTGGCGGCTTGCCTTTTTCGGTGCCCTGGAAACCCGGGGGCCCGTCCGAGGCCCAGCAGCCGCCGTCGGCGGCAAGAGAAACCTTTGGAGCAGCAGGCTGCGCGTGCTGCGGTGAGCGTGGAGGAACAATCGTCTCTGGCCTTCTCATCGCACCGTCTAAGAATACATGTTTGTTAACGGGCTTTCTTAGTGTTCGTGTAGATAGGGCCGTGAACAGTCCAAAATCGAGCGTCAAACTTTTAGAAAATATGGACGCTGGTTTTTTTGGCTAGAACCCCCCCCCTCGGGCCTCGGTGGGACGGAGGGGGGTGGAGCAGCGAGGAGCGTGCTCGGAGCTGCGAGAGGCAGTCCATATTTTGGGGGCTCTAGCTTCCCAACCCGCCCTCCCTGCTAGAGCGGGGGGTGGTTTTCGTGGAGCTGGACCTCTGGCGGCCTGCCTTTTTCGGCGCCCTGGAAACCGGGGGCCCCGTCCGAGGCCCAGCAGCCGCCGTCGGCGGCAAGAGAAACCTTTGGAGCAGCAGGCTGTGCGTGCTGCGGTGAGCGTGGAGGAACAATCGTCTCTGGCCTTCTCATCGCACCGTCTCAGAAGCATTCTTGCATGGCCATTCCGCTGCTCTGGATGGCCAATGCTGGGGCGCCCCTGCCCGTCAGGCGCATGTTGGGCGGGCGCGTAAAGCCAGGTGACAAGTCGGTCATTGAGTAGTCTCGCGACGCCACGGCTGGGCCTCTGCGAAAGCTCCGAGGCGTTCTCGCGCAGATCGCGGCGGGGGAGTTTGACCCCGGCGCGACTCGCTCGGGGAGGCGGTGCGAAGGCGGCCCCCCCGCGACCCCGACGCCGTCGGGCGGGGCGGCCGGCGCGCCCTCGCAAGAACAGGACGAAGGGTGCAACGCCTTGGAAGAAGGGGTCCATGTCGCCAGCGCGGACTCCGAGGTCGAGGTCACTGACGGCGAGGGCACCAGGAATTCTGACGAGGCGGAGGAGCACGAGGCGTTGGCGGCCGCAGAGACAGCGGGCAACGACCTGGAGAAAACCTTAGGGTTTTCCGCGGTTGCCCCCACAGGCAACGACGCGCAATTCAACCCAAGGTCTCACGTCCGCCACCTCCTGCCACTGAGCAAGCCTGTGCCGGGTGGTCGATTCGCGCGCGGCCGGGAGGTCAGCGAGGCGCCCGCGCTGGGCGGCGCCTCTGTCCAGCCGCTGCGCAAGCAGGGAAAGAACAGGAACGAGAAATGAACGCCGGCCGCGCCGAAGGAGCTTCTCGATCAGGGCGGCGCCCCCGTTCCCCCAGACAGCCGGGCGCCGATCTGCCGCGGGTGCAACAGAGGGCGTTGCCGCGAGCAGGCGCGCAAGGAGAGGCACCCCCGCGGCGCGCACGCGCGCTGCATGAAAGGGCGCGGGGGCGACCGCCCCATCTCCGAGCGCCCCGTGCGAGGGCCCCCAGCGGGCTTCTCGGCGCCCCCCAGGAGCAGCGGGCCGCGCGCGCCCTCGTTGTCCACCTGGGGATGCGCGAGTGAAGTTGCGGCCTTCAGGCCGGGCGACCTCTGCGTCAGCAGGGGCTGCAGCCGATTGTCGGCCAATCGTTCTTTCTGGGCCAATCCCTGCAATATCTCCAAGGAGATGCCGCGCGAGGCGGCCGTCGACATGTTTGCAGAGTGGCTTTACAAGAATGACGAGATGATGAAAAGCTTGCCAGAGCTCGGGGGGAAGCGCTCGGCGTGCCACTGTGCGACCTGGTGCAGGTGCCACGCCGATGTGTTGATAGAAGCGTATTCTGCCTGGGCTGACAGCCTCGGCGGCGTGGAGTGCCGCGGAGGCGCCGCTGTCTCTAGCGCATCAGGCAGTCCCGCAGAGCTGGCCGCGAAGCTCTCCAACGCGTCTGAGACAACCTGGGCGTCGAGGCAGCGCGGCTTGCGCCGCCGGGCGAGACCTCCTGCCGAGCCAGAGAGAAACCTGCCCCCTTGCGGCCGCGGAAGGAGAGCCGCCCTGCCCCGCGACCACTCCGCGATGGCCGTACCACGCGTAGAATCCCCAGCCTGTCCATAGCGGATGCCGCCGAGGTCGCGAACGAGAACCATCTCGCGGAGGTCGCGGCCGAGCCCACCGCGACGCTGCGCGGAGAAGGCAAACTGCGGGCCATTAAGAGCCCCGCCCGCAGCTGGATTTAGAAACGCCCATCTCTTGAGAAGCTGGCGGCGCTGCCGGGCGTCCACGAGGCGATCTGCCAGCAGCGCGCGCACGGCGGGGCGCGGGACAAGAGCGCCAAGTCCTCGCCAGCTCGCGGCGGCTGGCCGACGCCATGGGCACGACCTGTGACAGGAAGAGTCACGTCCACAGTCCTTGGGCCATGCTTTCGCAGCCGCTGGAGCGCGGCGTCGGTCGCAGAGCTCGAGCGCCCAGACATTGCGCGCAGCGTCGTTGCCGACGCTTTCGATTGGGACCTGCGTCACCTCGCCAGCAAATACAACGAGGCGCCGTTAGCCAAAACGGGGGCCATGGGCGATGGGCACAACGCGAGCCCGAGCACGGGCGCGACTCCACAGAGTCCGCCCGTCCACCCGCCCTGGGCGCCTGTCGACCGCCAGCGGTCCAAGCCCGGCCACGGCGTCGCCCCGGAGTTCAAGGGGTCACTCCGGCGGCAGGCTCATTGAGGACGACGTTCAGCTGCGAGAGCCCATCGCCCACGCATAGGAGCTGCACGGTGGCGCCGTCGCGCCTGCTGGGCCCATTCCTTTCCGTTCAGCGAAGCCTCTGGCGGGGGGGCGTGGCGGGCTGAAGTTAGGAGCGCCGCGGGCGCCCCGGGAGTTTTGGGGCCTCGCCCTGCTCGCCGAGCACCCGTTCGACGCCCCCCCCCGCCGTGGGCGACGACGCGGCCGCGGCCTTTTTCGACCGCTCGACCGCGCCGCTCGGCGATGCCACGACGAAGCTCGACGCGACTAATTAAGGCGCGCTGGCAGGATCAATCGATACAGGGCGCGATGGGCGGCAAGGGCGCGCTGCTCTTCAAGCAGATGATCCCGCCCGTGGGCCGCGCCGACGCGGGCGTCGCGAGCGACGCGGCGACCGGCCTCGGGCTCGACAGGGACTTCGGCTGCCGCGCCCCCCCCCCCCCCCCTGGAGCCCCCAGACACGGTCGAGGAGGGCCGGCCGAAGCGGCGGCTGCGGGGGCAGGCGCTGGCAGTCAGGGCCAGGGCCCCCCTCGAGGTTGCGGCAGCCAGCCAGCGCCGCGCCGCCGACCGCCGAGTCGACGCAGAGGTCTTGAGAAAGACTCGCGTCGAGGTGCAGCGGGGCCTCGCTAGCGGGCCGTTCTCGCCCGGCCAACTGGATGAGATCCTCGGCCCCCAGCGGGCCCCGAGCCGCCGGGTCGGCGCGGTCCAGGGCGGGAAGGCGCGGTCGACCGACGACCTCGCGGCGTCCTTCGCGAACAGCGCCGCCACAATTTGGGGCGAAACCTCCCAGGAAGGGGCCGACGGGGCGGCGTCGGTCGCCGGACTGCGGGCGCGCCTCGTGGCCGGGACAGAGGGCGCGACTTGGACTCTGCAGTTGGGTCGGGTGCTGCGCGGGCGCCATTTGTAGGAAGACGACGTTGTGGTCGGAAACTGCGACGACCTGCGCGGGCCCCCAGCGCCCGGGCGAAGTGCTTCACTTGTTGCGCGCGCCTAGCCCTTCGGAGCCCGGGCCTCGGTGCTCGGGCTCAGTCGGGCCGCGGCTGCCCTCGAGATCTGCGCCGCCAGGTCTTGCGGCGTGCCGATCACCAAGTATCTCGATGATTTCCCGCTCGCAGTGCCGAAGGTCATCTCCGAGTGGATGGGAGGCGTTCCGGGCCTTCGCCGGCGTGCTCGGATGGAGGCTGGAAGGAGCCGAGGGCCACAGGTTCGACGTGCGCTTCCCTGCCCTGGGGGCGTTGTTCGACCTCGGCCACGCGATGACTCGCGGCGAGCTCGTCGCGTCGAACGCCGCCCAGAGGAGGGGGCCCCTCGCGGAGCTGATGTAGAACGCCCCCTGGACACGCGGCTTCCCCGCAACGGAGTCGGCGCGACTCGCGGGCAAGCTGCGCATCGCGTCGTCGCAGATCTCCGGCCGCCGCGGCGCGGTTGCGGCACCTCCGGAGAAGAGCGGGCGGCAAGGCCCTGGGCGGCGTGCTCGACGGAGTTCTTTGGTGGTGGCTGGAGTATCGGCGCGCGCCACTTCGGGGCCCCGCCCCCGCTGGTCCCGTTCGCGGACAGCGCGCGCGAATTGGTGGGCGGAGCGGTTCGCGGGGGCATCGGGGCAGTCCCCGTGGATCCCGCGACGAAGTTGGAGGAGGCTTTCGGGCGCGACAATCCACGTGTCTTGATGGAGCAGCTGGCTCGCGAGACTGGGCACGAACGGCTGATCGGCCAGATCGAGATCCTGCCCGCGCTGGCCGCGGGGGTCAAGTGGGCCAGTGTCTTCGAGAAGCATCTGGGCAGGAGCGCGCTGGGACTCGTCGATAATGACAGCGCCCGCTTCGGGCTGTTCAAAGGACGCAGCCCGTCGCCAGCGAGCGCGTGGCTTCTGGGCGAGCACTGGCAGGCTGAGGGGCACGCCGGAAGCCGCGCATATTTTTGCCGAGGGCCATCAGCAAGCAAAAGTTCTGACGGGCCGAGTCGGCGCAAAATCGATCCTGGGGGCCCGGGCGCGGAGAGTGCCGCCACCAAGTTTTGTTGGGGGACTCGTGTGGGGACGGCTGAGTGCAAGGGGGTCGGCGGGTCTTTGGAGGTCGAGGTGCCGCCAGGCCTGCGTTGAATGAAGATCTGCCAGAGATCATTGCCAGATGGCCCCATGAAGCAATATGACATCATCTTCCATTGGGCATGGGCGGAAGTGAAACATCAGGTAACACATGAGCACTTCATATGCGAATCGTTTTGTGTTCTATGCCATCCTGCGAACATGCGTGCGCAAGTGCACGCATGCCCCAGTCCGTCCGTCGAACGAGGATGCTGCGGTGTTTAGGGAATTGGACCACGAACAATTACGATGAACCTCTCGGGAAGGCGGTTGCCCTAGATTCGGATGCACCTCTGGAGATATTTGTATCCACCGCGTGCGGCAGGTCAGCCATTCAGCTGGTGCGATGCTTGGGATATTTGGGCCGCAGGCAGTGTCCGACGCGCGCCTTGAGAAGGCGTCTGCCTCGGAGTCGGATGCGCAGTGTGGCCATCCACTTTCGGTCAGCAAATTGGAGTACAGAGGTCAGCACTCAGTTGCGTCCGTAAACTTTCGGATCGAGGGCTGGGGGGACAGGGGAGCACTGCGCTGCCCAGCTCCACGAGTATTTGCCCCGCCCGCCCGCCCGCCCGGCAAGACAAAGCTGGGTGGGTAGGGGGACGACGAGAGAGAACATTGGAAGATGACCCACCAGGGAGTCGGCGGGTCTCCGGGGGTCGAGATCCCGTCAAGCCTGCATTGAATGAAGATCTGCCAGAGTTCATTGCCAGATGGCCCTATGAAAAAATAGTACATCATCTTCCATCGGGGAGGGGCGGAAGGGAAACAGCAGGCAACACAGGAGTGGGTGTATATCTATATACACACCTACATGTCTTTCACGGAAGCGAGTTCGGGGTGCCCACCTGAAATCGGTCGGGCGCTGATTGTCCCCCGTTGTCTTTCACTGCCACCTTCCGCCTTCCGCAGCACAGCATCGCACACTAGAGTATAATAACACGGAGCAGCATAGCTAAGCACCAGCAAAGTCTACCATGCCAATTCTGTCACAGGATTCCATACCAGCTGTGGGCGCTCTGGGTGTCTCTGCATATACCTTTCTCACCGCCAGTGTAGATCTCTTTGCCGAGGGGGAAAATGCGAGCATGACCAAGATGTCGTGGAGTTTTACCGATGCCGATAGTGGTCATGGGCCATGTCGGCCGTCGCCGATTCGCGAAGATGATCCACGAATTGGCGCGGACCAAGATCGATGTTTACCAAGATCGGCACGACGTCTCCGCGTTCAGGCTTGGTCATGGCCCCCGTTGTCGCCCCCTCCAGTTTAGGGCATTCTGCCGCAATGGTGCGTCTGTTCTCTCTCCCAAAATCACATTCCGACCGCGAGTGGCGTCTCGATATGGATGGGGTGGCCCGCCGTCGAGATGCCCGCGGGGGGAGGGTCGAGGGGCCCCGGCAGACGGGTCCAGGTCCAAAGCGGTTGGACCACTGCAGACCCTCATGAAGAGATCAGAGGAGGAAAGGTACCGATACCGTTGCCATTGCCTCGCTTTCGCCTGCTTGGGCCTCCTGGGAGGCCCTCGTCGCCACAGCTGGCTTCGTTTCGAAATTTTGGTGAGAACGCACCCCGGGAAAGGGGAGAGGTCTGGGGAGCAGCGCCGTCGGCATCTGTTGGCTTCCCCAGGGTAGAGCGGGGGGAGGGGCAGGCAGGGGTGGAGGCTGAGGGATGACGAGGGGGGATCAAGGATTGAGGATAACCATTGTGCGGAGTATCAAGGGGGAGGAGGCGGAGGTGGTGTGGAGAATCTGGAGGGTGACGACGGATGATTGAGGAGGAAACAAGGAAGAGGTGGGTTTAGGTTGGCTTCGCGCCTGCGTGCACCAGATGCAGGCAGGAGGACGGTGTGGGGAGGGCTGATGGTGATTACGATGATGATGATGATGATGATGATGATGATGATGATGATGATGATGATGATGATGATGATGATGATGATGATGATGCTGCTGCTGCTGCTGCTGCTGCTGCTGCTGCTGGTGGTGGTGGTGGTGGTGGTGGTGGTGATGGTGGTGGTGGTGGTGGTGGTGATGATGATGCTGATGATGATGATGATGATGATGCTGATGTTGATGCTGACGTTGATGAGGACGATGATGATGATTATTATGCTGCTGCTGATGACGATGATGATGCGGATTGCGGTGATGATAGTTATGGTGATGGCAATGGTGGTGGTGATGGTATTGATGATGATGGTGATGATAATGATGATGAAGATGGTCATGATGATGCTGATGATAATGCTGATGCTGGTGCTGGTGTTGATGCTGATGTTGATGAGGACGATGATGATGAGGAGGATGAGGAGGATGAGGAGGATGATAATGAAGACCATAATCATGATGATGGCGATGATAATGATGATAACGATCATGATGTGATGATGATGCTGACGATGCTGATGCTGATGACGATGATGACGATGATGGCGACGATGACGATGGCTATGGCGATGACGATGACGACGACGATATGATGATGATACTGATGGTGGTGATGATGATGATGCTGGTGATGGTGATGGTGGTGATGGCGATGGTGCTGATCATGATGATGAAGGGAGGAGGATGATGCTTGTGTGATGATGATGGTACTGGGGATGCTGGTGCTGCCGATGGTGATGATGATGGTGGCGATGATGATGATGATGATGATGATGATGATGATGATGATGGTGGTGGAGATGCTGCTGCTGATGATGATGATGATGACGGTGACGATGATGATGCCCGCGATGATAGTAAAATGATGATGATGATGTTGCTGATGATGATGAGTATGATGTGTATGATGTGCATGATGATGATCAACTTGTTTTTATGATTATTGAGAATCGCATTATTGTCATGAGTTATGCATTGTGGTGGTCGTGATGTTGAGAATAATCAGGAGGCGGATAACGAGGAGGAGGTGGAGGAAGACGAGGATTCTGATGATGATGAGGAGGAGGAGGAGGAGGAGAAGGCGGAGGCGGATGCGGAGGAGGAGGAGGAGGAGGAGGAGGAGGAGGAGGACGGGGTGGAATTGCGGGAGGAGAAGGAGATAGGGGGAAATAGATATGACGCAATTGGTGCGCTCTGTTTTTCTGCGGCCTTCTCAGAGTTCCTTCGCCGATCTCACTGCTGGCTCCCAATGAGAGAACAGCGGCGTGCAGTATGGACGGGCTGCTGTCTTGCAGCCAGCAGTCGACGGCCGCGGAGTCTGGGGCGTCTCCAGCTCAGGTGGTACCCGTGACTCATGTCGCTAACGCTTTCCACCGTTGCTGGTCCTCGCCGAGCAGTGCTGCGGCGCTGGATTGCGAGACCAGGACTGGCGAATGCGGTGGGTTCCCGCGGGCTCTTCCTCTCGTGGAGCAACCGTCATCAGAAGCACAACAGTTCGGAGGTCCGCGCAGATTTCTTGGGTCGGCGCTTGGCCCCCTGGCGCCAATGAATCCGCGCCGACATTCGGCATTGGATGAATCGAGGCAGAGCTTGGACCCCGATCGGGTGGGGCTCTGACGAGGATGAATCCGTTCTAAAGTTTTCTGGAACACTCTCAGGGCGTTCTGCAACGCTCTGAGAGGCCGCGGCGCCCGATACGTCCTCCAGAGCCGCCGGATCTCAGAGGTTCCCGATTTATCCTGACCCGAATTTATCCTCGTCCTGGCTTCGTCTTACGCGGAGTGCTCGTGGCCTCTCCGCTGGCGACGAGCGGAGTGCTCGGAGTGACTCCGACTTCCCGTCTCTGGCGTCGCCCCCATGCTCGACGGGACTCGGCCGCGCGCCCTCTCCGGGCCCCAGCCCCTAGCTCTCGGGCGAGGGCTGACGGGGCGGCAGAAACTGTGAGTGTATCCTACCCATCGCTCGTCGAAAGTAGGTTCTTGTCAGTCCGAGGCGGAGATCTATCCATAACTACCGCCTGGGAGGTCGACCTTCGGGGTCGTCGGTGGGCGGTGAATATGGATAGATTTGGGCCCCGGGCAGTCCAAATTTGTCATGTCCATATCCACCGCCCGCTTGGGTCCCAGGACGTCGATTCCACAGGCGGTGGATATGGGTATATCCCGCCTCGCAGTCGGTTCACAGATTCACAAATGTTTGGGGTGCCTTTTTATTTTAGACGTTTCGCGTAACTCCACCAGCCCATCCAGAAACGATGCCCAGGTGAGTTGCCCTGATCAGGGATGTGGAGCATCATGCGATGAAATAAAGGGCAAGGGAAACCATCGTCGTACACCAAGAGGGGGAGGATAGAGGAGGAATCGGAGGAGGGGGAGGGGGAGGGAGCAAGCTAGGTTCGCTAGCGTCACATATGACGTCCTACCCCTCCCTCCCATCCGTTACCATGGCGTTGATCTCCTATCTATTCGCAAAGTCGGATGTCGAGCAGGCCAATGATCCCAAGACAGTACGCGATGGATGGAAAAGCATGGCGTAGAGCACGGCAGGGCATAGCATGTCATAGCTTGGGGAGAAGTCAGAAGGGATGACCTTTCGGACTCAGCCTGGCGTTGCACCAATTGTATGCCGTCAATGCGTAAAGGAAACGAGGAGCGTGCCACACTTAGACGCGGCCGATGTCAAGGCCAATGCTTGGTCGCCCTCAGGTGCTGGGGCCATATTGACCAGACACAAGTTCCTCAGCTGAGGGATGGGGAGAGGAGGAGAGTGCTTCCCTTCTGCCGAGGAGAGGGAGAGGAATGTAAGGCTGTGCTGGCCAAAGAGGGCCAATCAGTTTACAAGAGCAGGGGAGAGACGCTCAAAAGCAGCGTAGGCTACATGGTTCCTAGCGACCCGTTTGCACGGCCACACCTGGCAGCGTTCTGCCTTGCGGCAGGCAGCGAACAAGTGTCAAGAAAGGGCCCTCAGGCCAGCCAGTCCTGTGCAGCCCGGGCCGCGAAGGAGAGGATCAGATAGGGGGATACAAACCGAGATAGATGACCAGGAGGGAGAAGGGACGGGGAAGTGGACCATCAAAGGCACTGCATGGAAGCCCGACCGCGTCAGAACGAGCACTAGCCTGCTATTTCAATCTCCTATTTAGGCACGGCTCTGACTCGTAAAAGCTAGGACGGCCCAACGCTGGCTGCTTGAGCCTGCCTGCACCAAGACGACATGGTGCATGGGCGCATGGGGAGGCGGGACCAGGCAGAGGCCATGCCTGGGGGGATGTTGCAATCTCCCAGAGACCTCATGGGGGAGATGTGAGACTGCGTATCCAGCGGGCGCCTATGGAAGAGAAGGGAGGGAGAAATAATCATAAAACAGAGGAGGGGGCTATCGTGCCGAGAACAAAGGAGTGCTAAAGAAGGGAGGGAGAAGGGAAGAACAGGATCAGGTGGATGAGGAAGAGGAGGAGGAGGGGAGATAGCAAAATGGCCAAAGGCCTCTTTGATGCTTCCCAGAGTCTGTTCAGATGTCTCTTGAGAGCTTAGTCTAGTCCTTTGGGGGCGTCTTGGGTGCCTCTGAGCGGTCCCTCGGGTCAGTTTCTTGGGGCCTTTCGGGCGTTTCTTGGGAGCCTCTTGGGGGCCCCTTGGCGGCCTCTTGGGGACTCCTGGGCGCCTCTTGTGGCACTCTTGGGGCACACTTGGGAGCCGTGGGAGCCGTCTTCAGGCCATCTCGGAGGAGATCGATCGAAGGAGGGGTACTAAATGAGGCCCCCCCCCAAGAGGCCAAAATGGGCCCCAAGCCTAAGTCAAATCAATGATTCATGCTTTTCGTCGAGGCCATCTTTGACGCTCCAACGCCTCGCGGTACCTCCCGTCCAGGTCCAGGGGGAGTGGGTAGGGGGAGGAGCAACCCCGTCCCCAAAGGTGAAGAGGAGGGGTTGGAAGAGGAAACTCTCTAAACCACTCAAGCCCTAAAGGGTGGTGGGATTCCAAATGTTACCAGCTTCCCCGCTTCCTTCCTTTCCGGGACGCGGGCGGATACCCATTACATGGTCAATGCCTTACTGGTCCAGGGTCGTCCAGGGTTCTACCCTTGCCTTCCGAACGATGGGCGCTCCGAATTTCATGATCAAGGGGGGAATCTGATTTTTTGGGGGTCTGATTTGAACTGCCCTGCCGGTTTCTGGGGGTTTGGGCAAAATGCCGCCGTTTAATGCCTGGTCTGGCGGGGTGGCTCTAGCAGTGCTCCTCTGGGAGGGTGGTGACCCCCCCGCACTTCTGTTATGACACCTGGAGCAGCGCTCTCGGCTGCCCCCCTCCTGTCCCGGCCTGGCTCACTCCGCCGCGCGCTGCGCCAGGCTGGGCCACCACCAGCGGCACGCCACAGCGGCCAGCTCGAGCGCCATCCCTATACGTTGCGTGCTCCCCGACCCCGAGCCAGACCGGCGGGTCGGTTTTGGAGGTCCCCGCGGCGGTTTCGGTGGCAATTCAGGTTCCCATACCATTTTGTGGGCTCTTGCGAATCGACGCTGATCGATTCTAGTAGACGCTAATCGACGCTAGATCGGCGCTTCCCCATCGACTACCAGACGCCAATCGCTAATCGACGCTAGCGCACCCCGAAGGCGGTCGCGGTGGCCACACATCGGGGCAAGGTGTTTGTCAAGGAGTGTCATGCCCCTCCCCAACCCCCCCGCTCTGCGATGCAGACGTGGCCCCTCTCTCACAATGTGCAGTCGAAGCCGATGGTAGGAATGGGTAACATTCCCAATGATGCCCTTGCTTTCTTGCCTCTTCGGTCTATCCTGAACCGCTTTCAGTGGCCATCCTCGACATTTCGCGTCCAAGGGGCTTACATTCCTTTTACGCATCCTGACTATCATATTTGATTGCAGCGACAGAGGATTGTCAGTCTATGTCCGACATGGACAGTCATGTGTCTTTGGTTAGGGTGTCGGATATCACCCGACAGCGTTCGTCGGCACTGGGACTCAAGGCAGGACGGGAGGCCCTCTTCGGCCACCCAGCGGATCTCTGGCCCAGGCCAGCGCCCCGCTAGGGGGGAGGGCAAGAAAACGCGTGGTCGGATCCCCGTCCCGAACGAAGCTTATGGCGAACATTTTGGAGGTCTCTTCTCACGAGGGTTCCCCTCGTCCTCCAAGTCCTCCTCGTCGTCGTTGTCATCCCCCTCCTGGGACAAGAAACGCCGCAGTCTCGCTCCAAACGCCCCGAGAGGACCTCACCCTTCTCCCTGTATAGGGTGGGTGCCCTTCCAGACAGGGGCAGGATATAGGTTGGCAGGCTCCGGCCATGGACTCGCCCCCCGAGCTCCTCCCGCTCTTCTCATCACCATCCCACCCACCTCCCTTCCGCCTCCAATGCTCTTCCTGTCCTCCCTCGTCCTTCTGCCCAGGCAGTGGGGTGGCCTGAGGAGCCTCTGCAAGACGCGTGCCGTCGCCGCCCGCTTCGGGACCCCCGGGCCGAGCGCTGCCGTCTGCTGCCCGATGGGCCGAGCTGGTCGGCCCCACGGGCCGACACCCTCCCCGGCAGCCCGTCAGCTAGGCCGGGGAAGTCGCGCGCGGCGGGCCTCGGCTCGCTGGGCGCCGGCGGGGGCGGCAGCCCCACGGGGGGCCGCAGCCCCCAAAGGGCCGCCCCCGCGGCGGCGGAGGCTGCAGCTGGCGCGCCGTCTGGGGCCCCCTGGGGGCTCGCGTCCAGGATCTGCGGCTCGATTGCGGACGCGGGCCCGGATGAGGACCGCGGGCCTCTTGGGAGCTCCTTGGACAAACAAAAAGTGGCGACACGGGCGCGGGAAACACGGGAATGAAGGCCAGAAACAGTTCCTGCGCCGATTTTGAGCAGGGCTCGTTGCTGGTGTCGCCGTGGGCGTTGCCCACTTGAGACAGATTGTCGCCTGCCCATCAGCGGCCTGTGTCGCTTCTGGATAATTAGCATTTGCTGTCGGACATCGTTTCGGGCGTGAGGAGCGACCTCGGCATGGTGGTCTGGGACAGTCGGGGGCCTAGGCGCTCGAGGCTTCGACGAGCGTCGGCGTCCCAAGCCAGACCTGGGCACTGCCCAGGCCTGAGGGGTGCCCCTTGGAGGCCGTGAGGGGTTCGGACGCAGGGGGTTCCAGCGCATGCCCCGCTCCAGCTTGGCTCCCTCGCGCGCGGACCTGCCCCGCAGCTCCATGTTTTGGATTTCCTGGGGGGGCGCTCACACCGCAGCGCCACATACATCCAGACCTTGCGGGTTCATGCTGCAGCTTGAGAGTTAGAGACTATCGCGTCGATGCACCCCTTGCGGTATGCTACAGGCAGGCCAGTGCGCTTCGTTTCTGGTGTGGGGCCACCATGACCCACACACCCTCAGCCTCCTTTTCCCCCCCCCTCTCCCAGTGCCCCCCTGCTCTCTGTCCCCCCACCCCTCCCCGCACTCCCCACCCCCGTCCACATTGTATGTTCCTCTCGCCGTCTCCACCTGCTCCATCCCCAATCCCCTCTCCGCCTCCTCTGTCTGACCCCCTTCTCGGGGAAACGGAAGATTCGAGGTTACCGGAACTCGTTTTTGCCGACGCGTTTCGACGAGCCCGTCTTGGATTTTGACGGTCCGGTTTCCGTGGGATGTCTGCAGCAGGAATTCGCGTCAAATTTCAGATTGGGCCTCGTCATGTTCTTGACGGCCTCGCCAGGCCAACCCGAGTCCCCCGAACCCGAGTCTTACGTCTCCCCGACCTTCCTTCTTACCGTTGGAGCCGAGGGCACCGGTTCCCAAGGAGCATGTGCCAACACGCGGCGCCACCTGACGACGCAGTGTTGGAACGATTGTTTCCGCCAGCGTGCTTACGTGTTCCAGAAGAGCAAATCTGAAGGAGAACCGCTAGGTCACCCGCGGGGGGGCGCGAGGGTAATCTCGCTTCGCGTGTCGCGACCTGGGTCGGAGGTGTGTCCCTCTTGAGAGGGAGGGCAAGAAGTGGGGAGGTAGTTGAGCATCGCGCCATGCAGTGCGCGAATCAGGTGGCTTGGACATCGCACCGAGGATGCTCATACACCGAACGGTCTCTCCGGACATCCTATACTCTCGCCACGGTTGAGAGGGGCCCAGGGAATTGCTGCTGCTCTGGGGTGTCTGTGTCTGCTACTCAAGGTGCTCGTCCAACGCATTAGTCGGAAGTTTTTTTCGCCCCATTCAAATTCGTTTTCCAGCCGCAGATAATGTGGGATATGTTGGCGGAGTGGTTGCTTCAAATGCGTCCCTAGACGAGATCGAGCGAGGCGTCTTCTCGCAAGAACCTTGGAACTCGATTCATCTAGGTCGCACTACCCACTGAGGCGAAACTGCCGAGTACGACGTCCCAAACTCGTTGTCGTAGTTAGGGCCGTCGCGCTTACAATCTCCCCCCGCTCTCGGCCGCGTCTGAAGCAGGACTCGCCAGCTCACCGTGGTCTGCACGCCGGTCCACCTCCACGAGAACGGCGCCGGCTCCCTCGCAGCAGGCGCCGGAGTCGCTGCCTCCTTCGGGACAGCTGGGGCCTTCCTGCGCAGGGCCCTCCGCTCCGCCAGCAGGGGGGGCCTCGGCGCTCTGCGCTGTCTTGGTGCGGCTGGCACCGCCCGGCTCCCAGAGGGTGCTCGGCAGGGTGGCACGCCCGCCACCCGTGAGTGACGGCGAGGTGGCGAGCACGGGTCAGCCCCACTCAGGTGCACGATTGTGGTTCCGTTGGTTTCGAGGGCAGGTGTTGCGCGAGCGTTCGTCACAATGAGGCCCGTCTCGCGGAGTGGCGGGGGCCGTGTTCATGAGCACGGCTGGGCGCGTACCCATGTGGCGGGCTCCTTGCCCAAAGGACGCGCAAGGGGGTGCATGCTTCACTTGTGCGCATGGGCTGCCTACCCATTCTGTGAGCTGGAGAGCGTTTTTTTGTCCCGGGCGATAGCGGGCGTTACCGGTGGGGTGGGGGGTGACGGAGGGGGGGGGCCGGTAACGTCATGTTTCGCGTTGGAACTGTCTTGAAATGTTTGGGAATAACCAAGGACACCCCGGAGGTCAGCACGAATCGTGACGTTACCTGGGGGAGGGGCGGGGTTGGGCTGCCAGGGCCGATAACGGCCGCCATCACGAAAAGCATGGGGCCTGTGTGCCCTTTTTTTGCGGATGTGCCGTCTAGGCGCCAGGTTTGCTTGCTTGCTTTTTATTCCGGATTCCACAGTAAAAAGGGGGGGGGACTGACTTTTGAGGGGTCTGATTGGAGCTGGGGGGTCTGGGCAAAAGTCCGCCCTTTCATGGCTGGTCTGGGGGGGTCTAAAATGCTCGTCTGGGAGGGTTGCGACCCCCTCCCCTTGATGACAGAATCTGGAGTGTCCAGAGGACGCGCACCTGGAGAATGGCGCCGCGTTGGAGGCGAAGAGGCGAAACGCCGGCCGCGCCGAGACACGGTCTCGGGTCTGTCCGAGGCTGGCGGCGGACGGGGGCCCGGCTGGGCGGCTACGGCCCGTCCGAGGGGCCGTCCTCGGCCAGCGCAAATCATTCTCGAGCGCTCCAGATCGTGCGGGCAAGGTTGCGAAGGCCTTACGGCCAGTGCCGCCGACCCTGAAGGGAGACGACGACAGCGGTGGCGGCGGCCACGACGACGACGACGCTGACGTGGGCCAGGGTCCTCAGGGATACTTCTTTGGGTCTCTTCGAACGGCTCTCGGGGGCCTCTGGGGAGGAATTTTTGGGCCTCTTGGGAGCCTCTTGGGGGCCTCTTCGGGTTTCCTGAAACTGAACCTGAACGTGAGGGCAAGATTCATATCCGTGTGCACTGCGTCCTGGTCTTTCTAGGGAGGGTCGCCGAAAGGCCGATGCGCAGCGTTCATGGACAAGAATCTGTTCGCTGGGGGCCAGGTTTTGATCCATAGACACTGCGCCCCTGATTTCTGGGGAAGGTCGCCCGGAACTCCAAGACGCAGCGAACATGGATAATCGAGGTAAGTCTTTAGTTTTGGTCCCTCCCTGTTCACTCTGCGGTGAATAGGACTGGTCCTAAAACCTCTTCCTCCTCCTCCCCCCTCTCCCCCTCCTCCTCCTCCTCCTGCTGCTTCTCCTCCTCCTCCTCCTCCTCGTCCTCCTCCCGCTCCTCCTCCTCGTCCTCCTCGGCGGGTGCCGCGGAACGAATGATGAGTTGCCCCCTATTGGTGGGACCCAAGTCCGTGAACACGGCCGCCGAAAAAATCATGAGCTACCCCCTACTGGGGAGGGTGCTCTAAAGACCTGGCGCGGTTATACATCTTGCCCGCAAGATCTTGTTCCCGAGGCCCACGCCCCGCAGTGGCCTCCCCGAAGTGCGGCCTGCAGCCTCGGGCGCCTCCGCCTGCTGGCCCAGAGGGGGGGGCCTGCCCGGCGCCGGCCGCGGAGCTCCGAGGGCGCGGAGGGTATCTGGGCCTCCCAGATGGGGTCCGAGCAGGGGGGGGTCGGAGGATCGCGTCGCATCGCCGATGCATCGCCGATGCGGCTCGATGCGGAGCTCGATTTCCTCCACGCCGACGGCGCCGATGCATCGCCGACGTCGCCAGTGCATCGCCGACGCATCGCCACTGCATCGCCGATGCATCGGCGGTGCAGCGCGATCCTCCGATCCCATCTGCTCCGACCCCATCCAGGAGACCTCTAGAGTAGGTCACGACAGCGGCGCGCGAGTCAGCGCCGCAGGCCCGCGCCTTCGCGTTGCGCAGCCGCTGTGGCCGTCGGCCGCGAAGTCCGAGCCCTGCCCTCGCCAATCCACGATTCAGGCAGCTCGATGGCCGGCGAGGGCAGGGTTCAGAATTCGTTGAGCACGTGGCGGAATCCGGACCCTACCCCCGCCTCCCATCGATCCAGGAGAAAATCGATGGTTGGTGGGGGTAGGGTACGGATGCCTCCACCTAGACGGACCGATGCGTTGGGTCTCGAGATGTATGTGTTGGGCGTCGCGGAGCAGCCACGAGGCGAGACTCTTCAAACGATCTCGGTGCCTGGGGGTCCGGATCCATCTGGGCTCAAGCATTCAGCTGGAGGCAATCCTTCCACCACTACTCGCTTGACCCACTACTACATCCATAATGCGCATGATGCGCGTCCACTGTTGCGGCGTCCATATGGTTGCGTACACACTCATGGGCGAGTCGCGGGTGGGTCGCGGGTGGGTCGCGGGTGGGTCGCGCGTGGGTCGCGCGTGGGTCGCGCGTGGGTCGCGGGTGGGTCGCGGGTGGGTCGCGGGTGGGTCGCGGGCCAGATCGCGGGCCGGGTCGTGGGCCGGGTCGCGGGCGGGATGGCGACAACAAACAACACAAAACAAACATCAGTCAACAATCAACAATCAACAAACACCACCAACAACAATAACACAACCACAACAAAACATGACAAACCCAAGCAAAACAAACCAAACCAAACCAAACAACAGCAACAATAACAACAATAACAACAACAACATCACCATTCAGTTTAATATTGTTCGCTCTTATCTGCGAGCGTGCCATTCAACATGTCTATCTCAACCCTCGATACCCTCCCTCTTCGTCTTCCATCGTACCATCTAAGGGGTGTATCGTTCTTACCTGCCACGCTGTTACGAGCAGCCCCTGGCGCATGGGGAAGAGAGGACGGACAGAAGCAAGAGTCACGGGGAGGGAGGTGGATGGAGCACGAGAGAGAAAGTAGCAGGAGAGGGGACTCGGAGCGCAACGCACGTGGCAGAACCAGACGGGCAGATCGGGCGGGCAGGCCCTAGCGGGCGGGTCGGAGAGGCGGGCCCAGGCGGCCAGGTCGAGAAGTCGTGTTGTTGATGCCTGCATCCTTCATGAATCGCGGGGAAGTCTCGAGCGATAGCGCGATTTCCGAAGAATTCGTTAGGACATCCACAGCGCGAGCGTGGTTCCTGATTGTTGAGGGCGGGGCGTCTCAATCAATTGCACGGAAGACCCACGCGAGACCGCGATTCTTGCATATATTGTGAGGACGTCCCGCGGGAGAGCACGATTTGGGAATACATTGTGAGGAAGTATCAGGCGGGAGATGCTGTTGTTGTACAGCGGGGGCCGGGGGCCCAGTTCGGTGTCAGTCCATTTTCTGTATGAAAAACAGGGTGCGAGCCCGGGAGAAGCGCTAAAATTGAAAAATTCAATTGTTACCAGGGGGTCCATCATAATCGTTTGTGATCAGTCAGAGTTCGACACTCGTAACAAGTGTGTTTACCCTTATCCGCTCGCGTGCCATTCAAAACGTATATCCCAAACCATCGGTACCCGCCCTGTCCGTCTGCGATCATAGCTCCTGGGGGTATATCTTCCTGTACTGCCGCGCGTAATGGGCGCAGCCCCTGAAACAGGGGAAGAGAGGACGGATGGAAGGGGGAGGGAAAAAGGAAGGAACACGGGATAAGCAAAAGGGGGGGCTAGGAAGAGAAAGCACGTGGCAGAATCAGACGGGGCCATCAGGCGGGTAGGCCGGAACGGGCGGGTCAGGAAGGCGGGCCTAAGCAGCCAGGTCGAGAAAGCGTGCAGCTGAAGCGATGGTACGGCATGAATCGCGAGGGGATCTCGAGCGACAGCGCGATTCCCATCGGGAGAAAAGGCCACAGCGAAAGCGTCATTCCTGAGTGTCGAGGGCGAGGCGTCGGAATAAATTGTGAGGAAATCCTACGCGGGAGCGCGATTCCTGCATACATTGTGAGGACGTCCCGCGCGAGAGCGCGATTTTGGAGTAACGTGTGGGGACGGATTTAGGCTGGAGCCGTTGTTATTGTAGCTCGGGGCCCAGCAACATAGTTTGGTGACACCACAATTCCCCTGATCAAAGGCAGGGTGCGAGCCCCGAGCGGGGCACTTCAATTGAAACATACAATGGTTACTGGACGGGGGCATCAATTATATGTTTTGTGTAGAAGTGAGAGCTCAACAACGACAAAAGCACCAGCAGCAACAACAACACCACAAGCAACAGCAACACCAACAATAACAACAACACCATCATCATCAACAACAACAACAACCGCAGCAGTAATCATTTTAAGACTGTTCGCTCTTATCTGCTCGCGTGCCACTCGAAATGTGTATCCCGAATCCTCGATACCCGCCCTCTTCGTCTTCGTTCGTACCCCCTTGGGGTTTTATCTTTCTGACCTGCAACGTGCATTACGTGCAGCCCGTGAGGCAGGGGAAGAGAGGACGGATGGAAGGAAGGGGCAAGGGGGAGGGAGGAGCATGGAGCAATAGAGAGAGAGAGAGAGAGAGTAGCATTAGGGGGGCTAGGAGCAGAACGCACGTGGCATAACCAAACGGGCAGACCGGGCGAGTAGACCCTTGCGGGCGCGTCGGGAAGTCGAGCCCAGGCGGCCAGGTCGAGCAGGCGGGGTGCTTAAGCGTGCGTCTTGCATGAATTGGAGGAGGTCTCAAGCGATGGCGCGATTTCCCAAATAAATCGCGAAGACATCCACAGCGAGAGCGTAGTTCCTGAGTGTCGAGGGCGCGGCGCTTAAACAAA